ACAACAATGGCTATCACTTTGGAAATTATTTCTCCTCACTAATGAAATCTCTCTGATCTTTTTTACAGTAGATTAATGAGTGATTCATATTAAAATAATAAAAACTAAATTAATCATGGGTCCTTAAATCACTTTCTTTGATGTTTTTAATAATTCATTTCCAGAGACATGCTGAGAACTTGCGCTTCATTAATATTATTTGTTCTTGGTTTTACACATCAATTTAGTCATTTACATGGAGAGAAATTCAGCCTTAAGCAAATGCCAGAATACTATTGCAAACACAGCCTGATGGGGCATTAATTTATCTTTTCTTGTTTTTATGCTCAAAGAATTTAATACAACATAAGACTGCTGGTGAGTCAAAAATTTTTTTGTCTTGAAAATATGGAAATGAACTTTTTAGATAGTTGTATAATTATAATATAACTAAAAATTGGGTGAGCTTTACATTCCGATAAACTAAGAGATAATATGACAAGAAAAATAAATAGTAGGTACATTCTTCTAAAAATGCAAGTGGATACAATTTGTGTAATCTTCATTATGACAAAATGTGAGACTATATAATCAGAATATAGTGTCAGTAGTAATTTTGCACTTAACCTCTATTTTAAAGCCTGTAAATACCTTAAGAAACTATAAGCAATTCCATAAACTTTGATTTAAAAGAGAAAAAATTTGCTTTAAATATGCAACTTTTTGTAACTTGCTCCCATCACTGCATTGTTTGATCATTTTAATGGCCCTAATTCTATTAGCAGGGAATTAATGGAGTTATTCACATATGAGCTTTTTATTATTTAACAGTGAATCTACATTAAAAACATCAACATGAATACATTGTCTTCATACAGACTATTTTAATGAGAAAACCAATCCCAGTGACTTGCATTTTAAAGGTTGGCTGTTTGCTTTGGGTTTTAAATATTACGCATGGAAAAGGGACATTTTCATGAATATACATGAAAAGTGTACCAAGACAGGTAGGCAAAGCTCTTGTAAGGGCCATGAGATGTACATGAAGGTGATTTCCCAGGTAGATGGGGAGTATGACCAATCAAGGCTGCGGTCTGGAGCTCTGTGCTTGTCTCTGGGTGGGATGTTTTGAGAGAGCAAGGCCCTGCCATCCCACCTGAGATCAACAAAAATTAAGAACTCTGTGTTTACACAATTGATTATATAAAGCCTATTTTTGAACTAATGATCCAATGCCAGTGTGAGGTTAAGTGTACAGATTAAAATGAAATGAGTAATGAAAGACATTAATTAGGCTATAGCTACCTGCATTACACTTGGTAATTCACCGAAGTATCTACCTCTACACCATATTTATTTTCTTCTGATAATCTTCTCTTTTACCATGCTTCTGAAGAAGCAACTTATAAATATAAATTTGATCCATTTACACATGTTTCTCTGGAGATAATATCAACTCATGTGAAACAATACCCTATAAATATTATATGCATTTGACTCTACAAGGAGTTTATTTTATTTTCAAATTGAGAAATGCTTTCATAATCACATACTTGAGAAAACATATCACTTGTTCCTAGGAGGCAAAAGTATATTGTTTTGAATGATGACACATTTTAACCACTTCACTTTTGTAGTGAGAAATCAATTTATGGCTATAACAATTTTAATCAGTTTCAGCTACATTATAGTTATTTTCTGCACGAGGAAAGTTGATGTGACTTTATAAAAGTGGAACTGCAAAGGCATTTCTAATGGATAAATAATATGGATGGGTAATTTATGGAGAAGTATTATTTTTATGCTAAAAGAAATCTTAAATGTTTGCAAGAGAAACCGTTTAATTACATGTACCATTAGGATGGCTTTTTTGCAATAGCTATGTGACAACTCATTAACAGAGCTCCCACAGACAGGACATGACAAATTATTACTAGTTGCTTATGAAAGCTTCTGATTAAGAGAGAAATGAGAAATTAAAAATATTTGTTGCCAATCAAGATATCACATAAAAGTGATTTAACTAATGCAGTTAAACAACTAGACTTTATAGTAATCTTCAATCTTTCAGTTCTGTGCAAATTTAGGATTATCTAGGTTTTTGTTGACTGTCTTTATCCCTCCCAGTATTACCCTGGAACACAGGTTGCCTTCTCAGATCACATTTGTCAAGATTCTGGAGAGAATAAAGTAACAAAGGACACTTCAGCAGTGCCTTTTCTCTGCTGCTCTCACACCTAGTTGGCAGGATTCTGGTTTTTTTCCAGGCTTGAGCTTCTAATTTCATCTGATTTCTTGAATTAGCATTTAAAAGAGAAAGAGTCTAACTGAAATATAATACCAGGATTTTTCTAAGAGTGTGACTATTCTGTAGGTCTGTATGTGATTAGCAATGTACCAAGAGCAGGGAGGATTTTCTTGAAGTTAAAAAGGCACATTTAATCTGTTGCACTTCCAATAAGCCAAATTGCCAGCCTTATTGAGAAAAGCAGAAATGCCAATGAGTTTCTGCTTGAGGTGTACTAAGGGAAAACTGAAGTAATTTAATTAACTGTTTTCAAGTACAATAAGAAGCAAGCTGCCTTTACTTTCTGCTGCCAATGCCTTTATATAGATTATTGTTTCATGTGAGTTTCTGTACCCATGTAAGGCCGAAATTTTGAACTGTCTGCTGCCACCCCCTGACTTGAGCTGTTAGGTGTTTAAGAAAAGACCAAGATGAATAGAGGGGTGGAGCACCTCTGCTATAAGGAAAGGCTGAGAGAATTTGGATTCTTCACTGTGGAAAACAGAAGGATTAAGGGTGACCTAATTGTGTCCTTCCAGTACCTGAAGGGAACCTACAAGAAAGTTTGAGAGGGGCTTTTAAACAAGGGCATGTAGTGACAGGACAATGAGGAATGGATTAAAAGAGAGTAGGATTAGATTAGATATTAGGAAATAAAATCCTCCCTGTGAGGGTGGTAAGGCACTGACACATGTGCCCATAAAAGCTGTAGATTCCCCATTCCTGGAAGTGTCCAAGGACAAGCTGGATGAAGCTTTTTGCAACCTGGTCTAGAGGAAGGTGTCCCCACCCACGGCAGTAGGGGTGGAATGAGATGAGCTTTAAGGTCCCTTCCAACCCAAACCATTCTGTGGTTCCACAATAAATAAAAGGCTGCATTTAGCAGCTGAAGGACTACCCCTGCTGCCACCAAGTGCTTCAGACATGCAGCTGCCTATTCTCAGTAGCCAGAGAGCAGACATGCCTGAGCTCAAGCATTCTACATAACATCCACTGTGGGAGAGGGAAAATAAAAAATGGCAATCCCCAAATTGTGCCTCCTCAAGCAATCAGACTAGAATACAGATGGCAGTGTATATACAGAACATAAAAAATTTACACTGTGTAATTAAAGATGACAAAGTTGTCAAGGTGTTCATTAGACTAAAAAAAATGATGCTCACTAGTAGCAGGTGTTACCTGATTAGGTGATAGAGGTCATAAACTGGTATGTGACATACTAAAATTGAGGCATAAATCTTGTTTTTCTCCTTGTAACAATCTCAGACTGCTCTTCTGATATAGTTTCTTAGTGATGTACTAATTGAAACAGATCAAAAAGTGATGCTTTTTTCCTCCTTTATTACACTCCATGGGAGTGTTGAATCATTCAGGAACCAGCTCATGTACAAGGACATAACTCTGCCTCAACATAGAATCACCAATGAGAAACAGAATTACTTATAAGCAAACCAGAAATCCACTTGGGCCAGTGCTAAATTACATGAGGAACTGGAATTTCAGTCCGAAAACATATTCAACATTCTGTTTAAAATAGCAGGAGTTGCAGATAAACCCTCAGATCCAAGTACCATCCGTCCTTCAATAATGCGTTTCTTACTCAGATTCTTGGACTCGGCATTTTGTGTCCAGTTCACACAGGAACTTTAATTCTTTATTTTTGGCCAACAAATCCTAAGACCGCTCTTGACCCTTCAGAGGCTCTGTTGCACTTCCATGTCAAGCTCAAAGCAGTGACAAAAAAAACAAAACATTTTAAAAGGATAATACTTGCTGTGACGGAAAGAAGATGTTTAGGTGGTTTTAATTACTGAGTTTGTGCACACAGTAATTACCTACACATGGTACACATGATTTCCCTGCTAAGTAGGAGTCAACAAATAAAGTAGTGAGATGCTGTGTGTGTTCCTGTCACGTGTGCTATAATTTTCACATTTTACTGCAAAAGAATAAACCAAAGATTTTTCCCATTTCAGCAATCCTGGATACACAACAAATTATGGAGCTATAGTATTGACTGTAACAACTCTGAACTGAGTGGCTATCAAATTAACAAGAACTGAACAAAAATATAAATAAACTCTTGCTGTAATGTAATTAAAATAAAACCTGATTTACCATGTACTTTAGTGCAAAGAGAAATGAAATACAGACCACATTTTTTGTAAACTACTTTCCACTCTCTCAATAATTAAATGTTATTAAATAAATAAGTAAGTTTATACCATCATTCTGGTATTGTCTTTACTACCAACTATGACTCACAGATCAAACCAGCACTGTGAATTAAAAGATTCATCTACTTTCCTGCAAGGACATTGGCACACCCTGCTGAATAATCCCATTTTTAAACTGCTTGTTAGAAATAACAGCCAAGGAATGAGAGAGGAGAATTGACTCAAAGGCAAGTGAAACAGAAGGATCAGAGATAAAAATGGATTATTTGGTTTAAAGAGAGGAGAGATTGATAGCCAACCATAAATGTTTTGTTTCATTTTCTTGATGAACGTGTTTTGTTGTACTGGGTAAGAGGAATGAATGGTCTGTAGAGCTGTTTTCCCCTGAGTTTCAAGGTCTCTGGACCACAGAGACAAATTCACTTACAATCTAAATATTACACCAGCTTCCACTTTCCATAATAATAAGATACAAGTTGCACTCTTATAACTATCATCTGTTAAATGAGGTCATACTCAATGTCCTGATCAGACATGAAAAGTGGCTCAGAACGTACATTGATGTCTTCCAGGTCGAGGAAGTTGAGGATGATGCCGTTGCGTTTCCAAATGATGGGAGGCCGCAGCGCCCCATGGATGCTACAGGTCAGGACGGCGCTAAGGCCAACAGTGATGGTGGTCACAGTGACCCTCTGGTCCTCTGGCAGATTCAGCTGAACCACCTCTGCAAAAGGCAAAATAACAGGGATAACATCAAATACCATACAGGGAAGCTGCTCCTCTTCTTCCCTCTCTGACTTCCTTTCTCATTCTGGGAATAACTTTGGAGGATTTTGGCAAGGAGATGGAGTACCTCTGCTATACAAAAATACCCCAAAACATTAACAATAAATCCAAGTAAGAGACAAATTGCATCTGTCTCAATCAAACTCCCTGCACCCCTTTCCTGACACAACTTTGCTGTGGCATGAGGGCACTAAGATGGTCAGCTCGCCAGGCTGACTGCAGTAGTTTATACAAAGCAGTCAGCAACAGGAGAAGCAAAGGCTCTCTGGCTTGAGATCACCTGAGCTTGTTTCTCTAGAATACTCCTCTCAAAGTCCTTTGAAAAGGTACAAGAATGAGTCATGTTTGTTCCTTGAAGAAGAATAATTAAGGTCAGACTGCTGCCACTGAAATATAGATAACCTAGTTTCAAATTGCCCAAACACTGGAAGTCACCAAGCATGAAAACTTGTTTACCAAAGACAGCCACATGTGGCACCTGAGATACAGATGTCCTAAAAAATAAAAGCTTTCTAATATTTTATTTAAATAAAACCCCTACTTATTTTGACTTACATGTGCCACACAAGAAACTCCTGCAGCAGCAGACCTTACTGAAAACCTCACCATCAGCTCTCTCAAACCACACTATGTCACATTGTTTCTTTCTGGCCAATGACACCAGATGTGGCTGCATCTTTTGCCGTGTGTGGTCACACAGAAAGGTCAGACCTGATACCAAAACTACCCCGGGGTGCAGATTGCCATTATGGAGGATTTTGGCTGCAGTGAGACACAGTCAGGCCACATTGTCAGTCAGGCCACATTGTCCAAACTCCTGTAGCCACAGCTTTTTATGTACATGATGGCTTTGCTTCTTCTCATTTCCAAGCTTTGCAATTAGTAAACTATATCGCATGTAAACAATGAAAACTGGTTTTTCAAGCCCACTGAGAGGAACAGGGAATGTTCACAGCTGGTGTTACTTTGCTTCAGCCAACTCCAAACCCTGGGCTGGGGAATGAAACAATCTCTCCCAGCACCAAGGCTCCTCCTTCCTCATGTCCACTGGCAACAACAGCAGTAAAACAGAGATGAAAGAGATTGATGTTGCCTCACTCAAGGCCATGTACTTTGGGAAAAAACAAACAATCCTGGCACTGTAAAACGACATAAAGGGTCAGGTTACTCACTCCCACCAACTGGTAAAGTTACTCTTCATCCTGTCCACTTAGATAACAATTCCGTCATAACATCCCACACAAGATCTGAATATCACTTGCATGGAATAAAAATGAAAAAAACCCAGCAACAATATTTGCAAGCACAATTTTCCACCTTTTCACATATTTTCTAATTGAAAAATTGCTTTAGCATATCTTGAGTAGCAAACCTTTTAAATCTGTCACTAAAATATTCAGTCTATTTTAGCAGCCTTGGGCAGCATGGACTCAGTGCTCTGATAGAGTAACAGATTGTGAAGAATAAGTGAAAAAATTGCTTGTGAAAACATACTTCAAAAGCTAGGTGCCCCTTTTCTGCTTCTTCCACCTAAGTGAGAAACTAATGTGTCAAAAAGTGTATTCAGCACTGTGGATCTGAGGCTGACTTTGGGCTGCAGGGTCCATACAGCATCGATGTGTCTGCCAGCAGTGAGCATTTCTCACACTTAAAATTCCCAGTGCTGTTTCAGGAAGAATACTAACTGTTTTAAACAAAAGGTAACTACAGTTTTTATAGATGGTTGATCAAAATTATGAATATTTGACTAATGTGATGCTACTCTTTGTGTTATGGTGGCTCCCAGAGGCATTACATGAGAAGACTGACACAGTCTGACCATCAAACCTTAAAAATCAGAAAGGGAGATGAAGGAATATTGGGAAGGAGAACATTACCCATTTAAGATCACTGAACAAGTTAGCAAGTAAGCTGGGAAGACATAATACATGACTAAATCACATTGCCTTCAGCTATCTGCTGGAAGAAATCAGGAATGTGGCAACTCAGCAGTAGTGGGCCATAGGAATAGAGATGTCCGAGGGAAGCACTGAATGGCTTGGGTTAGAAGGGACATTAATGACCATCTTTGCAACCCCTGCCATGAGCCTTTCTCTAGACCAGGCTGCTTCAAGCCCCATCCAACCTGGCCTGTAACATTTCCAGGGATGGGGAGTCCATCCCACCATCCTCATCAAGCTGCCTGAAGCATGTAAACAGCATATAGGGGCTAATGTAGTTATTTTCCACATAATGAAGAGCTTCTTTTAATGAATAAAATATTTGGAGTGCATTTGACAGCATAAAGAACTGATAATTACAATGATTTGTAGCATGCAGTAGGGTTAATGAGGACATCTCTTCTTGAGAAGAAATGGAGAGCCATTCATTTACAAGAGAATTGTTTTTTCATATTACTTCTGTTTTCCTTAATTCACTCTGCTTTTTTTCATGGTGCCTTGAGCTCCCTGGCTCATGCAGGGCTTCCATAAACTCCTTCTTCAGCAACATCTTTTCAGTGCTCTCTTGCAGTGGAATTTAAGACTTCCTGCCCATCTTACGAACAATTGCTTAAGAGGCTTTACCTTTGCCTTTTTAGAGGGACAGTAATGAAAAATACATTAACTTTTAATTAAGAAGACACCATGCACAGCTGTCATTCTTGGATGAACCATACGAGGCCAAGAAATTACTTTTTTATGTTAAAGCATGTAATTAGCATAGACCACTTTAACAATACATGCTCCTTTTTAGAGTATTTCTATGGAGTATATTTGACAGCATCTTATTACCAGTACATCTCAGGGACTCTTATTAACTTCTAAAAGCCTTTCTACTAATACAGAATTATTTTGTGAGGTTTCAGTTATTGCTTTTTTGTTTTCAATAGGAAAAATTTCCTTATACAAGCAGGTGTATTGGAGAGGAAACAGGATTCCCTAAGATGATGTGAGGGATGAGCTTTTTAAAACTCTTTTAAAAGACTCAATATTGTATTAAGTTATAGAGCTTAGACACTGCTTAGACACTACTGTTCATGTGTCAAAATTATTCAAGTCACCATAATGATTTTGTGTACAGCTTTTAGATTAGGTATTGAACACTGTTCATTTTATTTTTAAAAACCTTTAGGACATAAAAGGATTTTTACCATGGGTACAAAACTGAACAGAACAAATAGGCAATATTCAAAGGGTGCTCATTTGCAGATGAACACAAACTGTTCAGTCCTAATGTCAAGTAATGTTATGTTCATTTTGAAATCCTGCAGGATGATGCATGCAAACCATTTTTCTACATTCCATAGGTTCAACCAGTATCAATACTTGCTGAACCATAGTTATCAAGTTGTGTCAAACCTGATACTTTACTCTGAGATTTTAGCTGAAGTAGCTCCTCAGCTTATTCCAGCTGGAAATAAGTTCCTACCAGCTATTCTGCCATCAAAGAGAGATGCTATCATCAGAAAATGGGATGCTATCATTCTTCACTCAATTTTTAATGGTTCCAGACAGGGGTAAAGCCTTTGTAATGATCGCCTTTAAAAAGGAATTGGTGTAAGATTGTGCCTGTGTATCACAGGACCAGGACTAATCCCTGATCATGTAGAGGAAAGACACCAAATGTGGAACAAAATCAAGGTCAATGAGAGGCAACCAGGACACCACAAACTCTCCACTGGTGATGGCAGCAGCTCAGTGCCTGAACACTGTGTGGTTCAGGAATTAGGGCAGTGCCACCTTCAGACCCATGTCTTATTCAGGGGAGGGACCACTATTGTCCATCCTCTTCCACCTTTCCTGCCTGGTATGATATTAAGCCTGAAGCACTGAGCACCTTTGGTGACCCAGCTGTCACCATCTTGATTTTCTTACATTAAATTTCTTGCAATACCAGGTCTCATGGTGACATGCAACAATGTGAAGTCTTACTAATTCCTTTCTTTGTAAGAAAGTGTCCAGATGTTGCTGAACATTTTCCTCTGTCCCTCCTCCTCTCCAGTGTTATTCAAAATGGTAAGCTGGAGTTACACTGCACCTTCACAAGCTCTGCATACTAATGCAGCAGGTATTACTTGTGCTGTTTTATCATGGAAATCTTTTTCTCTGCTGTCATTTGCAGCCCACCAAAAGTAGTCATAATTTCACAATGAAGAATAATTGAGGTCATTAGAGGGAGCCACCTGGAATGAACATCTATAGAGAAAACCTCATTGATGTAGCATTGTGTGGAGAAAATTTACATAGAGACGTCGGGCACCTGCCTTTGCTCATGCTGCACTACTTACAGAAACAGATTTCCCACTTTAAATAGTACTTAATATATTAGATCTCTTCCCTTAAATCTAAAGAAAATACACATTTTAATGCATTGTTGCCACCTTTAATCATTGATACAGTGTGGGAATCCTTAAAATCAGAGGGTTTTGGGAAAGCTGCAAAAAAGCAGGCCTCAGAGACAGCAGAACTGCAATTAGAGCTAAGCGGAAAGCATAAGGTTTGTCAGCAGAAAAGTTATATGAGATGTAGAAAGCAAGGACAAATAGAACAACGGTCTGTGTATTAACACTTGGCTAGAATAACTCTCTAAGCTGCAGAAAAGTATATCTAGCAAGATATTAGGAAGTTCTTAACTTAATAATGGAGCTCTGTGCATTGTATTTTAAGGCTTACAAGTAGGTATTGTATTTGAAATAAGCAAGCATTTCCTTATAGTGGTTGGATAGAACTACTGTCAATATGCTTTTGCTTTTGTGATTGGTTAAAAAACTTTCAAAGTGCGTTGTAACATCATGTTCTGCAGCTACTGCCAAGGATGTGAGCTGCTGGCATCTTCCCGTTGTCTCAACTGTGTAATGAGACTGATGTTTGGGAGGAAAAAATAATAAAGCAGCTTGAGACACATTCCACAGCAGTCCCATCCTGTTCGTGCTTCTGTGCTTAAACCCCTGGCCGGCAT